ATAATTTATTTATTTGTGATAAGTTAATAATGATTTTTTCTTAATATACTGATAATCATTATAAAAAAATGAATTTTTTTTGATTTAATGAATAATTATTAGAATCTTAATCTAATTAAACAGTAAATGAATTTATTAATTTGATTAATTTTTTTATTTTAAATTTTACAAATAATTACAATAAAAAAAATAATATAATATATAATAAGCAAATAATAAATAATAAATAAATAAAAAGTACATTGTATTGATTGTAAAATAAAAGTAAAATTTGATATAAGAACTTATTTTTTTATTATTTAAATTGATATATCAAGAAAATTTATTTTTCTAAATCTATATTTTTAAAAATGTTAACGATCACATGGTGTTATATTTAGATTATCTTACATAAATTTATCATAGAATGAAATGTTACATAAATCTAAAAAGGCAATTTTATTTTTTAGTAAAATTTGAATTTGAGTCTTACAATCAGTTACATAAGTTTTTCTTTTTTCAAATATTTATGTAACATCATGAGTGTTATATTTAGATTATCTTACATAAAGATAGTTCTCATAATTATTTTCAAATTTTAATTGAATTGCAATTTAATTACGTTATAAGAAAATTTAATTGCATCACAAGTTGTAACTCAATTGCACCATTTTTTATAATTGCAGTGATCATCTTTAATCTTATATAAATTAATTATAGAATTATAAACATTATACAAATCTAAAAAGGCAATTTTGTTTTCCAGTAAAATTTGAGTTTGAGTCTCATATTAGTTATACAAGTTTTCCTTTTTCAGATATTTGTGTAATGTTACATGATTTACAAGAAATTATATTTCTATAGTGAAACAATTGTGTTTAAAATCATTAATTATTGATATGCAACACTGATATCTGAAATATAATTAAATATTAACGTAAATAATGAGTATTTACTAGTTTTTATTATAATTAATTAAAATTACTAAACCAACAAGTTTGTTATATTGAATTTTAATTATATAATAATTAACCTTGTTAATAAATATATTATAAATTAAACTATTATATATAATAAAATTAAAATAAATAAATAAATTTTTTTTTTGATAATTAATTATTATAAATTATATATTTTTATTGATATTATTACAATTAATTCTTTAAAATACTTATGAATAATAAGCAAAATAATATTTATGAATAGTAAACAGAAGGTATATTTTATAATTAGTTTTAGAAGAAGTCAATTAATTAATTGTTTATTTAATAATGATAACAATAAAGTACTGCCTCAGTCAGCAATCTATACTTTACAAATATGTTAAGGAAATTAAACTAAACTATTTAATAAAACTATCTATTAAATATACTTAATATAAGATACTTTACTAAACTAAAAGAAAATGTCTTCTATTTATATAAAATGAAATACATAAAGTTATTAAAGATATAAAAAAATAAATAAAATATAATAAATATATAGCATAAAAGAAATAAAAGAAATAAATAAAATATAATATATAAAAGAAATATATGTTATAGATAACATAGAAGACGTATAAGACATATATAATTTCTAGGAATCAATATTATCCTTTTGATCATCATCATCTATATCTTCTCTTATGTAATATCACTCTCCTTCAAGATTTTGTATTTTTGAAAATCATTTATATTTTCATTAATAATTAATTTTTCATTATTTTTATATCTATTAATCTATAATATCTTTTTTGATATTGATAATTTTTCTCAAATATTATAATAAGAAAAGAAATTTCGTTTTCAAAGATCAAAATAATAATTTTTTTTTTTACATTTCAAAAAAAATTTATGCAAAATGCATGCCATATTCATGTATAACCTATCAGAGGGAAGTATGTTATATTAATGCTATTTGCAATTAACCTTATAAATATAGATTTTTCTAACTTTATATAGGGCTAAGATTTGTTGATTTTCAAAATTGTGAAATTTATAATTTTATATAAATACTTTGATTTTGAATGAATTTCTGATTAGGATCACATAATAAACTATTTCTCTTAAATATGACCTTTTGTATATTGATCTAATTATTCAAAATCTAAAATTTTTCTCAATTAAAATTTTTTTTTTTTAATAATAAATTTCATCAAAGAAATGCTTTCTAACAATTACTTAAAAAATGATCTTTTTAAGAAAGTTGAACGTATGAGAGCTTTTTGTTTTTAGCAAAAAAATAAAGTTTATGAATAGTTTAATATCTTGCAAATTTAAGCATAAGATGAGGAAAGAAAGAGACTATTCATGGTAACAGGTTAGTATGTCTCGTATTTGATCAAAATATTTGTGTAGATCAACTTCAATGAAGGATAGATATGCTAAAATTTGAAAATTATCATCAAGAGGAGGCAGCTTTAAGAGAATGGTTATTCTATAAAGATTTATGGAAAAGACAAGTGTAACTTCAATTGGATGGTCTACATGATGATTAGGAAGGTTATTTTTATTTGAAATATTTCTTGGAATTTTTCTTTGTAGATGATTCTTTAGATTAGGCTAGTAAATATAACTGGATAATATATTGGTTGATCATTTATAAATAAAATATATATTTAGTGGCTTAACTATTTTAATCTAATTTCATCTATAATATGCTAATCTTTTTCTATATCAGGAAAGTTCATTAAAATCCAATATTTAAGAAATCTATCACAAAAAATTATTGTATACAAAACTTTGATCAACTAATTATGCTTTTAATTTTTTTTCAATGTATAAATTACATCAATATTACAAGTAATTTTTCTTTTCAGAAAAACTATCATTTTCATATTTCTTAATTCTTATGCATGCATTTTGCTAAACCTTTTAAAATTATACAGCTTGCTAAAATTTTCTAAGCTTATATTAAATAAAGAAATAATAATCCTTCTTTAACATTTATCTCTTTATTACTTTTATATTTCTGAATAGGTTGAATATTATTTTTAGAATTTACTTTAATATCTTCACATTCATTATTTTTTACTTCTTCTTGATATAATTCAAATATTTCATTGTATATATCATTTATACTTTGAGTTTTACTAAAAATTTGTTAAGAAGATTTTTCAAAATCTATATTTAACTGATATTTTGAATTAATATTTTTATCTAAATTATTTTTCTTTTCTTGATTTTTAATTGAAATAGAATTTTGAATTTGACTTTCTGTTATTTTAAAAGATTATTATAAAATTTCTTCTTTTGTGTCTTCAAATATTGATATTTTCTTTTGCTTTTTATTACATAATCTTTTTGATTTTTTTCTTTTTTTATTTAATCTAAAAACACCCTACTAATATTTTCCTAACACCATTATAGGAAAATTATCTTCAATTTTTATTTTTAAAGAAGTATTTAATTTAATACTATTTATTTCAAATTTATATTTATTTAAATAAAACCTTTTATTTTTATGTTGTTTAATAAAAATGCCTAAAGTTGATTGAATATTTTGTAAATATGCAGTTGAAATACAATCTTCATCAGTTTCTTTATCAAGAATAATAAAATATTGTTCTCTATCAATAATATCTATTTTTAACTGTAATAACTATAATAAATCATGCTTTTAACTGATTAAAATTTCTGACAAAAGATACCAAGTATTATGGTTAGTTCTAAGATGCTTAAGAGTGATAAGTGAAGCAATATTTATAGATGGTAAGCAGAAGGTATATTTTGTAATAAGATTTAGAAAAGTGTCAATCAATTAATAGTTTATTGATAATAATAACAATAGAATACTACCCCAGTCAGCGTTCTGTACTGTACAATTATATTAAGAGAATTAAACTAAACTATTAATAAAATTATGAGTTAATCACATTACTAAGTTAAAAGAAATTGTTTTCTATTTATATAAAATGAAAGATATAAAGTTATCAAAGATATAAAAGAAATAGATATAATATATAAAATAAATATAATATAATAAATATATAAGATAAATAAAATAAAATAAATAAAAGAAATATATTATATAAAAGAAATATATACCATAGATGACATAGAAGACATATATGATTTCCTAAGGATCGACATCATCCATTTGATCATTATCATCTATGTCTTTTGTGTAATAATATTAATTATTTTAAAAAACTGTAAATAAATTTAATTGTAAAAATAAAATATATATTAATGTAATAACAATTAAATTATATGAAATAGAATATAATTTTTGATTAAAATTTATTAGCAAATAAATATTTTTTATTGATTAATTTTATAGAATACAAATTTTATATTATAGTTGAATAAAAATAGATATCAAATTTTAAGTATTATATATAGTTGATCAAATAATTTTAACATTTTGAATGTTTTAATAGTTTTCATTATCTAGTTAAATGATTTTTAAAATATATTAATTGATTAGAAAATTGAAGCAATTAATATTTAGTTTAACTAATAGGTTATTATATAGTTAATAGATTACTAGTACAAAATATTAATAAAATTAAGAAATCTTTCTGATTAACTGATATATATAAAATCTTTTACTTTTTTATTTTTCTATTATTATTAAATTTGAAAATTTTAAAAAAAAGTGTATAAAAAATTTTTATATAAATTAAATGTGATAAAACTAATATAAATTAAATAATATATAAATATAATAATCATATTAGTAAATTTTAATTATACTTGTAATATGTTAAATATAATAATAAAAAAGCTTTATATTTTATTTAAATATATTGTAATATTTAATAAAATTTATTAAACATTTAACAATTAAAATAAATTTTTTTCAACTATTGCTATGATTAAAACAAATTTGCATTTATAATTAATTACTGTAAAAATAAAGTATTTATATATATAAATTTATATAATAATAAATTAATATAAAAAATTAACTTTATATTTAAATTTCTATTTTTTTTTTTTTTATAAAAAAAAAAAATCTTTAAGTAAATCTTAATTCTTTTAAATAAACTTTTTGTTTGTTTTTTGAAATAAATATTACATTGCTCATTTGAGTAATTATGAATCATCATCACAAAATTCTTTAGTTATTCCTATAAGTCTCACATGTTGTAATAATGGCAAGCCTATTTGATCAGAAAATATATTTAAAAGTGTTATAGATTGTATTAACAAAACTTTTATTAAAGTTAAAAATATCTAGTCTTACCAGCTAGAATTTGTCTACAAGACAGAGAAACTTCTGTATATTCCAAATTAAGTAACATCAATTTCACAAGTCCTATATTAATGAAGTATACAATTAGAAATTGATCTATAACAAAAAAAGGAAAACAAAAAAAAACTAATAATAGGAATCACTACCTTGAAGTTCTCTCACACCTTTATCAGTAACATGCGTGTATCCAACATTGAGATACTTTAATCCCCTATTAGAAAATGCAGCTTTGCCAATTATCCGCAATGATTCATTTTTAATCTTTGTTTTGTTTAAACTTAGGTGCGTAAGTCCTCGTATATCTAAGTTATAAAAGTTACAATTTAATTTTTAATGGTGATATTAGTATAAGACAAAACATTTGTTAAAAAGTAACCTTTTATGTAAGTCAGACCGACATCCGTAATATTGGTTCGATCAAGATACAATTCGGCCAAATTCTCTAAATCTAATATAAAATAATCGATGAGATAATTTCCTATGAAAGTTAATTCAATGTTAAATCGAGTATATGAACATACCTTTCAAAGCTGTCATTCCAGCATCAGTTAACTTGGTTCCAGACAAGGATAAAAATGATAGGCTACCATTAAAGAAAGAAGAAAGAAAAGATCCATGAATATATAAATAATCAAAAAATCATAAAATAAGCAACAAACCTTTTTATTCTGCCAATATGCATTACACCAACATCAGTAACATTTTTAAAATTTTCCAAGTTAAGCTTATCTAAAGGCAGTCCTATAAAAAAACAAAAATAAGTCTCTGTTATTAAATAATAAACCTTATAACTTGCTTACCAGAAAAGTCCTGTAATATATCATCCATTTCTTCTTCTTGATTCGGAAAATTGATTTCATTAAGAGATTTGTACTCTAATTGAAATGATCAAATAGTGGTCAACATCAAATCATTAACATCACTATAAACAATTACATATAAGTTACCTTTTGCCATCCATTTCAACCCAAATTGGCCAACTCCTGTAGTTTTAGTTAAGTTTAAATCAACAAGGTTCTTAAATCCACACAAAATTTTCATAACATCCTGATCGCAAAGTTTAGTACTAGAAATATTCAAAATCTCTAATTTTTGGAAACTTGAAGGATTAACTGGAACTTGAGGTGGTGTTAGCTGAGTGCTGCATAGATTGAGAGAACGTATACTCTCCAATGCTATATTTAAATGAAATAATATTATTAATTAACCTATGATTATAAGTAAATTAAGATACAAATTAACACTTACGTTGCAAATCTGCAAATACAGTTTTGCCACAAACTCCAGCACAGTACGACAAATCTAATACTTCCAATTTGCTTGCAAATCTACAATTTGCAAATAGATCTCTTAAACCAGTCATTGTTACTTTTGTCTGAGATAAATTTAGATCGACTAAATTATTAAACTCTTTATAAAAGAAAAAAATTTAACGAGAATTAAGTATAGTAAATATCACATTCACATCTTGATAGAAATTGTTATAATACCTTGTATAAACTGGAGAGCACGATCTCTTACCCTACAAGATGAAACATCCAGCGTTTCTAAATATCTCAACCCTAAATAATCCGAATGTTAATATAAACATCAGGAAATACAAAAAAAAAAAAAAAAAAAAAAAAATTATTAAGTAAATTCTATCAATTTGGACCTTGTAATCCTCTTAATCCCGTATCGGTTAAGACTTGGCATGCTCTCAAGCTTACTTTTGTAACTGAAGTTCGTTGCGTACTACCAATAACTTCCAATAATGAATCGGATGCCCGCGGATAATTATCTAATATAATATTCTGCAAATTACTGTGGTCATAACATAAAAACGATCAATTTCACTAAAAAATATAATAATTAATAAAAGTAACGTAGATGAAATAGTGTCCAACCAATTCGCAAAACGTTTAAATGTAAGAACATCCAATTTTTCCATTTTTATCAATTCTGCCACTAATAATTCGCCGATATTGGAAGATACATTAGCAAGCGAATTTATTATTCTGAAACTTGTTGCAGAAGTCAATAGCGCTAATAAAACAAAATTCAATTTATTGTTAATCGTAAAGATCAGATTAATCATAGAAACCTGAAAGAAGAGAATTTATAATTACCGGCAACTGTGTATGCACATTTTGATCTTAAACTTCCAACTTCATGCTTGATCCCGTGTTTCACATTTTCATCTTCTACATTATTTTCTTCGGGTTTTGCTCTTGCTTGTATAGCATCAGCAATTCGCTTCCTTTTTTCTTCGTCATTCACCGCTATTATGATAATACGTTAATCTAGAGACACATCGATTACCAAAAAAATCAGATCTTACTTACTTTCATCATCAGAGTCATCAGAGCCATCAGAATTCTGTTGAAGATCATCAGTTAAACGGTGACCTCCCCCGAAAAACGGTCTTTGTGGAAGGCGACCTAAAAGTTGCATATGTCTGGGAACTTGCATTGGCCCACCCGGAAAATTCGGTGGAATGTTCGGGATCTGTGGTGGTAATGTAGGTCGTGCAACCGGAAAGTGAGGGGGGACATTAGGTGGATTATTACTTGGTTGTGTATGTTGTCCACCGGGAAAGTGTGGAGGGGCATTATTATTTGGAATTGCAGGTTGCATAGGGATCTGCGGTGGTAACGTGGGTCGTATACCTGGAGGAACGTTAGGAGTTTGTGACGATGGTGGAACATTTTGGGGCATTGGCTGTTGTGAGACAACAACCGATGGGATGTCACATCTCACAACATTCAAGGAAGCATTCGGTACTAAACCGGCATCTGCAAGAGTTAGATCCATTTGATCGTCTCCAAATACTTTTCTTGGATATTGGGACATCAATTGGAATTCTTTACTTGGTTCACTCTCGTTAGTAACCCATTCAAATAAATTAGATATTCTAACAGAAGTTGCAAAAGCTTGTCGAATAGATCGACCAGTTGATAAACGAATCCGGATAAGAGTTGTATCCTGTGTGGGCACCGATGAAGTTCCAGGTTGAGATGATGTAGAAGCAGCTGGATTGTTTGTACCAATCACAATATTTTCGCTTTCTCTCGCTTGATGTGACATTTTCCGTTGTTTAATCTTTTCCCTATCTTCTTTGATTGCCAATAATGCTTTTTTACGAGCTTCACGTTCTAAGATTTTTTGTTTCTTAACTTCTTCTGCTGCTTTTGCTGCTTTAGCTTTACTTTCTTTTGTATACTCTGAATCGTCAGCTGGTTGTAAATGACGAGATATTATAGTTGGTTGTGGAGTTGATTGTGACACTGGACCTGACTATAAAAGATTTACGAGGTAAAATACAATTATAAAATATATATATACATCTATAAATTTATATTTTAAATGAATATTCACCATAGAATTATTAGACGTCATTGGATCAAATGAACTTCCTAGAGATAAAGTAGGAATAGAACGAGAAATTCCCGAGTTTGGATCCAAAGCATTAAGGATCCTTCAATTTTTTCAATTTAAATTAGATATTACAAGTTATAAAAATCTTTAAATCACTTTTTATAAATCGATTTTATTTGTTAGTTGAATGATAAAGATGGTAAACTGACCATTCAGTTGCGGCTTCTACAGTTCTATTGCAATCAACTGCTTTTCGACAGACCCATTCGTCAAAACCAAGGGAAAGCAATTGAGCCAACATGAAGTCCTTTTCAGAACTATTTGGATCCATTGTAATTATTCAATTGATTGGTTAAAATGAATGAATTTAAAAGAAACGTTGAAGAATATATGGTTTATTTTTTTGATTCGTAAAAAAAATAAACGGACACGATATTTATAGAAATATCTCTGTGTGAAAATCAAACAATGATTGTAAGCTGAATTTATACAGATGTTCAAATGCTGCGGTTAACCGGTAACACAAGCGAATTCATAATTACGTAGAATTAAAGGATGATATAATGAAGAATAAGCTTTTTTTTTTTTTTTTCCGTTATTATTAATAAATAATTTAAAAAGTTAATAACTTAAATCATTTCTCTCCTTTGCTCCTATATATGCCGATTGCATGTTTTCGAAAAAAGTTCGCCATGGGTAAAGTAAGGGCAACAAAAAAAGGCGCAGAAACACCATCAACTCCAACGTCGCCTCAAAGAAAGACAAGAACCTCAGGAAAGAAATACACGGAAAAGGAGATAATGAACGTTTTACAATATATTCTTGATCATTATGAGGATTGGATTAATAAAAAAATAAATCAAAGAACAATCATCATTAAAACCTTAGATCATTACGATATGAAGGATCGTACTCCATACGCAATACATTTTAAAGTCAGTAGATTGCAATTTGAGTACAAGAATTATGGAAAAATCAATGGGTTCTCGAGTATAATTAATGATATGGTGGCAAGGATACTCAAAGGAAATGTTGAGACGGATTATCAACGAGAAATTGAAGGTGTCGATACATTTGAAATTAAACAAGAGCTGGTTTCTTATGATGAACAATTTCTTGAAGATGACAGAAATAAAATAATCACGGGAGAAATAAAGGACGAATTTGAAATTAGAAAAGCAATATCTAAAGAAGATTCGATATTTAAAATAAATAAGCCTTTTCTACCAATTATGACAATGAATGAGCCTAAAGAAATTACTGATTTTCCAGCGCAGGCAGAGAAACTAAATGTAGTTCACAATCTCAAAGATTATTATCCAAATAAAGAACAAGAACCGGAGCCATTATTAGGAAATTCGAGCGGTATTACCAGCACGGATATGAAAAATCCTAATGGTCCTATTACGTATCAACACGAACCTCAAATGTCTAATAAATTTACGTTTCCTTGCACACAAATGTCAAGGTATCTGGTCGTAATAATTTATTGCTTCTCGTTAATTGATTTCATTGTAATTTTTTTTTCTATTCATTAGCGACAAAAATAATTCCTATTTCATCTTAACTGCTACGTATACTTTCATGGAGAAAACAATAGTGGACGAGATATACAAAAGGAAATTATGCGAAATTCGCGAAAAATACCAAGGGATCAGAAACGAAAACAATAGAAAGGAATTTAAACAAATTAGTAAGCTTAATCAATCATATACTGAAATTATATGCTTGTTAGGTCGAATAGAAGCTAGAATGGTGGAAATGCAAACCAAGGGTTAGCCAAGAAAGACTTGTTTTTGACGCAGTAATTATTCTCAATTTGCGACATCAAAACCCTGTCAAAATAATAACTTTTTAGAATTCTTGAACAGGAAGGATTCATTCATAAATTTATATTTATAATCATATAAAATTGTTAGGTTTTTATGAATAAATAAGTTAACAATACTTGTTTCGTACATAAGACATTGTTGACAGAAACTACTTCTATTTATTATATATTTTCAAGTGATAAATAACCAAAATTACGGATAAATTTCTTTAACCTGATCTATATTTAACAAATAAGCAAAATATCATTTCAACTGGATAAATGATGTTATAAAATCAATTTAAAAAGTAAAAAAATGAGGATTTATCACAAAATATTCCAAATATTCCACAACGATTCCCTAAACCATTTGCATTCACAATTATACTTTAAGAAAAGAAAAGAATATGAAATAATTAAACTAAATTATTCATTTGTGGGAGGGAAGTGTCGATAACATATAGAGTTTCTCTTAAAATATCTTACATTTTTATAATGATACTTTAGAGTAGATGATTTTAAGATAATTTAGATGATAATTAATAGAATTTAATGTTGTCTACTATAAATTTTACGTAAAAAAGTACAACTGTCTTAAATTTTGCAAAAAAATAAAGTTGTGACTAATAATTTTTTTTTTTATTTTGTTTTTGTCATCCATATCAAAACCACGTTAATTATATTTTTACATCAAATAAAGATAAACTATTTCTAAAGGGAATTAAGTAGAAATGGGAAGTTCATAAGCGTTTGAATTTATCAGATTTTCGTTTCTTATTATTATAAGAAGAATTTAATTTACATGTTGAAAAAATTCGATGACGTGTTTAATTGTTTATCAAATAAATAATATTTTTGCTGTAGAAAAAAATGTAATTTTCAGAGTTTTGAATGTGTTAAATGGAGAATTCTTTATTCAAGCCAAAATCAATCATGATAGATTCTTTCGAAGTATTCATCTCAGAAATCTGAGTTTTTATAATTGTCTTTAAAAGTAAAGAAAGTCAAATTTTTAACCCATTAAATGGTTTAAAGGTATATTAGGTATATTAAATTTATTAAATGCTTAATATGTTTGTAGTTTAATGCCGGCCGAGTCTTTAATGCCGGCTAAAATAATTTATAACCATAAAACAATATCCCGAATTTTCTAGATGCGGAAAATCATTAATTATATATTAATTATCATTACTTCATATAGAAATAATCAAAATCTAAAAAGGAATAAATATTATAATAAAAAGTATCATTTTGTTTAAAACCTTTTCCTGGATCAGTTTTTTTGGCGAGAAAACTCGTGCACACCCATTTTTTCCCTAGATTGTCGCACAAATGAAGTTACACAGCTCCGGAAAAACCAAAAGTTACAAAAACCTGGTTTTTTCCCACACGGATTCTTATCGTTAAAAACTCAAATCTTTTCTTTTCTTATTCAAATCTTATCTTTTTTGAATTTTATCATATACCTTAATAAATTTATAGATTGCTTGAAAGTACAGTAATCTTTTTTTTTAAAAAATTGAAAATTATCTTACTCGTACATTTGTAGTTTTTTTTTTTTTTTTTTTAAAAAAAAACTAATAATATTTTGTATTCAAACAACACTGATGAGTCAAAGATCTCTGATCGAACTTCTGAAAGACCTCACGGAAAAAGATGATATGCGGATATGTAGTTCTTTACTGGAACGATGTCTCAATACATCTATATCGGATCTGGAAAACTTCACTGATAAACTGTCGCAGCTTCTGCGCGATTTTCCTGATGTTTACATACCAACCCTGCAAATCTTCATTTCTTACCTTTGTGATGAATCTTCGCGTAAAAAAACTTTACTCCCTAACCGGCGGGAAAGATGGGTCACCGCGATTTCAGATTTCATCTCATCTTTAATCACCACTGTCATCATGCAAAACTTTGACCACTCCGACTTTCCTGGCTTTGGAGAGCTTATACACGATTGCATCGAGCTTCTATGGAAAGTTCAAAATATATCTTTGATTAGTAATAAAGGAAACAATTTAGCCATCCAGATGACAAAAAGCTTCTTCAAATCAATCCTTAACGCGGGTGTCCTGGGAATTTTGGTAACAGACCCTTCCGGTCGTCGCTGTCTCAAACGCATTCTGTTTGACTTCAACATGATTAACCATATTGAACGGGAAGAACTACTTAGAGCGATAGATATGGTCGCGGCTCTTGTGGAGAAATGTTCTGAGCACGAGGAAGTTTCGATTAGTCTATCAGAATGGTTTTTGGTATATAAGGCATGTACATCATTGTTGAACTCCCTTAGGAGATTCAAGAATGTGGAAAAGAACCAGGTAGTCAACAAGAAAGAAATGCCGCTACCCGCGCTGGACGATATGGTTAAGCTTGATAATAAGGAATCCAGGACGATCAGGAAACCGTTTGCGAATTCCCTTATGGTGAATAGCAACTCATTACCTGTGTCCACACAGGATGAACGAAATCTCGCGATATTAGGGATGAGGGCACCTCAAAAGCTATCAGTTTTACCCAACTTTTTGCATGCAATTGAACAACGAAAAATAGATTCATTCCGAGTAAGTATGATCGTGTTTTTGTTTTAATGTGTTAATCGTAGTGAAATTGACAAAATTAAATTCAACTTCACTTAGAATTTGATAGGATTCTTGTCATGCGCAGGTTGCCGCAAACAAGCCCTCGTTTATTTTTCTCCTGAAAAATACTTTTGGCTCACGGATATTGAAAATGAAAGAATAACAAGGACACCAGATCGTCTTTTCCGTCTTCCATTCGAATTTGATGACGATGACAGGCTCGGACCATGGGACATTCTTCTCAGCGGAGACACGATCAAACATATGCGGAACTTGGAATCACATCTTGTGATTAAAGCAGTCATGAAAAAACTTGGACAGATATCATCTGGAGAATGGGATAAGAACAAACTGCGATGTGCGGTAGCAACTCACGACATCCCTGTCTATGAAATAGAAATTCCTGGAAATAGTGACCTGAAGATCCTCTGGCAGGTCGATTATGGTTTCTCCATTCGTAGCTATTTGCTCACGCAATTTGTTAGAGTTTGGGCCGTCACCGCTGATCGGGAGCAGATTCGCAAAATATTAGAAAATCTTTTGATCGTTCATCGGGTTTATACATTAGAACACAAATTCCGGTGTGAAGTCGAACAGATGGGTGGCGTAATTTTACCAAAAACCTTTGGAGATGAAGAAGAAACAAGGTCCATTGAAGAAAATTTGGATGTCTCAGAGAAAAATGATGAGAGGTTATTAGATATCCATAAGATGCTTGTTACAAATAAGTTTGTACCCTTATCAGCGGTAAGTATACGTATCATTGATATATAAAGATTAAATACAATAAATTTTAATAGGTATTATGATTTCTCGCAGAATTTGTACAAGTCGCTCGTTTTGGGTGGTTTCGATTTTACCTTCCAGGTATCCAAGATAGAATACGAGATTATCAATAATCCTACTTCAGCGATTGTCATTGGTCGATCGGGTTAGTGGTCTAGTTTAAATGTTATAACTTGAAAAATGAAACTATAACGACGTTGGTTTTATCTTACATAGGGACCGGTAAGACCACGTGTATTTTGTTTAGACAGATTGCTTCACATTTAAATAGTCAATTATCCAAGACTCCGATCTCATGTGGTAGTGACAGGTTTTCTCACAAAAGGCAGATATTCATTACAGTAAGCTACAAGCTGTGCCGTCGGGTGAAGGAATACTTTATCAAGTTGCGAGAGTCTGCGATGCTTGCTGGTAAAAAAATGTCTATGAAGCAGTTTAATGAGTATATGAAGAAAAAAGGGAAGGAAGAGGAAATCCCTGTAAACAATAACACAATGCTCGAAGAGGGTGATGAGGAAAAGGAGCTGAGTGACATTCCAAACTCATTCCGTCAGCTGACAGATCACCATTTTCCACTGTTCATTACCTATGAAAAGTTTTCAAAAATGCTACAGGGAACCTACTGTATTGATATACTGAAACTGATCAAACAACAAAATCTAGATAATGATAATGCTGCTGATTTATACGAAGGCGAAGAGAAATTCCGTCGAATATCTTCTATCACAAATACAACCAACAATTCATCTGAACATTTTGTAGACTATAATAAATTTAAAAAAGATTATTGGCCTCATTTGAATAAACAAAACCTGGATTGCGGGTTGATCTACTCTGAATTTTCTATTATTAAGGTATGCAATTATATGCAAAAAATCCCCATTAGAAAAATAGTAAATAATGAACTTCATAAATTACTTGAAATCTTCAAATGCGGAAATCAATTTTCCCGATCCTATCTACAGTCGACCTCTCTAAATGCACCCCCTTGGGATTATCTTGAAAAATTTGAAAAATTGTTTATTAATGAGGGTGTGTGCATTTAGAGAGGTTTGTCTGGATATTATATAGAAAGTTCTCTTTTGACCTCTATCATTCTCAAATTTTCTTAAGGGTTCAAATCCCGATGTGGATTATCTCTCAAGAGAAGATTATAGAGCCATCAGTACCAAGAAATACCCAATGTTTCGTCACAATCGTGACCAGGTTTATGATTTATTTCAACAATACGAAAAGAAGATGAAGCGAAATGACCATTATGATTCAATGGATAGGTAAATATCAAATGTTACATAATATTTGTTAGATTTGGATAAAATTTCAAGCTTAACTTAGTTTTTCACAGGACGTTAGCCATTTTACGTTGCGCAAAGATGAAAGCACTTGGTGGACCGCAAATTCATGAAGTATACATTGATGAATGTCAGGATAACCAAATCGTGGATCTTGCACTTATCTTAAAGATCTTTGAGCGTGTTGATGCGATTTTTTTAGCCGGAGATATAGCGCAATGCATTGCCCCGGGGTCTTCTTTCCGGTTCCAAGGTATTCATTATTCTTTAAATGATCCCGCTACTTCTATTCCTAAACCTAAATTTTAATAATTCGTATGTAGATTTACGCGCCTTGATGTATAAGTGGGAACTCAATCGGATACAAGTCAATCACAAACAGCACAGCAATTTAAAACCGAAACAATTTGAGTTAAAGATTAATTATCGTTCTCATAATGGAATCCTTCGGCTTGCTGCTTCTGTGATTCAACTTATCTGGGACTTTTTTCCCGATTCCATTGACTACCCATCAAAGGAACATGCCGAGATTGGTGGTCCACTGCCCGTCTTTTTTGACGGATTTCAAGAACGACATTTTGAAGACTATTTTGCATCACAAAACATTTCTAATAATATCGAATTTGGCGCCGATCAGGTTATTATTGTACGTAACAACGAAGCTAAATCGAGAATAAGAAAGCTAATTGGTGACGCTGGACTTGTAATGACAATATTCGAAGCTAAGGGCATGGAATTTGATGACGTTTTGTTGTATAATTTCTTTTCTTGTTCACCTGCACAATTAAAGGTACAATATTATACAATTGTTTCGAACCATCTTATAGATTGCTTATTGATTATTACTTGGTTATATACATTTTTTTTTTTTCAGTGGCGAGTAATTCTCTCCAAATTGAAAGATAATTCTGAAGGGATCCAGGTCTTTTCTCACGAAATCCATTACATCCTTTCCTCAGAGCTCAAACATCTTTATGTCGCGGTGACCAGAGCTCGTCAGCATATTTGGATATGTGACGATAATGCTGATTATAGTAGGCCTATTAAAAAATACTGGAAAAGTCTTGGGCTGATTAAAATTATCCAAAGTGTGAACGAAATTAGAACTTTCTCCACCTTTGCTAAAAAGAGCACTTTACGCGAATGGGATCAACGTGGGAAAACTTTTTTTGAACAGCGGTTCTATGAGCAGGTGAAAATTTTTATTTTACCGATATCATGCATTCAATTTAACTAATCCAAATAAATTTCATTTAGGCTATTTTCTGCTTCGAAAAAAGTAAAAACGAAGAGAGTCGCGATCTAGCTGTTGCATATAATCTTCAACAGATTGCTAAGAATGCTTCCGATAACAACACTGCAAAGTCCAATTTCATACATGCTGCTGAGGCATTCATAAAGTGTAACCGTCCCATCCAGGCTGCTTCATGTTATGAGGTATAATATTGATTTTTCTATTATATAAATAGTATTTAAACAAATGTGACAATAATAATTTTTTTTTGAATTCTGTTTTAATATCCTCCATTTTGAAATTTGATAAATACTTACAAATATGAAAATTCTAGCATATCGGCATGTATGTAAAAAGTGGTGAAGTTTATGCCAATTGCAATATGTTTGAGCATGCGGGAAATTGTTACATTAAAGCCAAGATGATGAATTTGGCTGGAGAGTATTTTGAAAAAGCCGAGCAATATATTGATGCTTTTTTTACCTATAAAGATGGTGGTCTTTATGGAAAAGCAATTACTTTAATCCAGAGGTAAGCCCATTGATATAGAATTTGATTGCATATAAATGTAAAATTAATTCGAATTATTGTAATAAGGCACAGAAAAGAAATTGACGAGAATATAATTCGCGCTGAAGCTGAAAATCTACGTTCACGTGGTAAATATAAAAAAGCCGCCGATTTGTTCATTTGTTTGAATAATGATGAGGATATCATTGAGGCATTACAATGTCTCTTACACTTATGCAGAGTTAATGTACTGAAAAGCACAATAACGGATATTACAATTCCAAGTACTTCACAGGAGCTAGAAGGTCTTCTTTCTAAGATAGCTGAATTCAGATCGCAATTAGTGAAGAAATCTGAGCTACTGGAAGAGTTTCAGTTATATTCAGCTTATTTCAACAAGGACCTTGATGAAGTTTACGAGTATTTGCAAATTTTCAAAACAAACGAAAATATAGTTTTCGAGTTTCGTGCGTTAAATATATGGCTGCAGATTCTTCCTCAATCTGGTATTCAGGCCGAGTATTGGAAAAATCGGTTGCAATGTCTGTATAGGCTATGCGATCTGATCTTTCCTGTTATAGTCCAACGACGTTATAATGACAATATTGACGAAATCTACAAGGATTTCGAGAATATTTTTATTGTAAGCAATGTGAAGAATCGCTTGCAAAAACGCAAAATTTTTCCTGACAATTCACTTGTTCGTCTCATAGAAAATATGTGTGAAAAAAACGACAAAAACATGACCAAAAAAAATATGATAAAGATAATGGATAATCAGCACGTTTATGATGTACATGTTGTGCATCAAGCCATCTCGCAATTTCTTGCTTCACATATCTATGAACTTATCTTGGATGCAGGAAAAAAGGGTAAAGATATTCCAGAAATAGGTTCTTATATCTGTAAATATACGAACTGTCGATATATACCAAATTGCCGAGATCATCATGTAACCTCGACACCATTAATTCTAAATCAACGCCTGAACCTTGCGTGCCTTCAGTGCACTGTAGTGCAACGTTTGCAAGTTTTATGTCGCCAAAAACTTTTTAGTATTGAGCAAACGAAAGAATTTTTTGGTATACAAAGGTGGTGGGTTGAAAAATTAATTAAAGTTCATGTTCGTTATCAATCCCCGCAAACAAGTTGCCCAGAAGTTACTCATATGGTAATCGCCGGAATACCTGATAAGACACGTTATGGGTTTACTGATCTTGCCCATAATAAATGGTTACGAGACGAATTTAACAATGGTAGCGACTTTGAGGTTATGTTAAAATACGTGTTCTTATTTCAGCTGTTGCGAGACGGTTGGGGCTTTAGGATGTTTGATTGGAAGATGTCACAAGTAAAAGAGATTTCACAACCTGACGATTTACCCGCCGGTTTTGAATACAAAGGATATCATCTATCGATTCCAGTTGGGAAACGACTTTCGTCATTCTTTTTTTTTCTCTACTCTAATAAAGTGATCGAAGCGATCTCAAATTTGAATCCTTTTATTCAATACGCTATAATCAACTCTCAAAAGATTAACTTGACTAGTATTTATGCTTTTGGAGACCTTACGACCCTTATCGAGTTGTCAACGTCTTTAGTTTTCTCAGTCGGCCCTAAGGATTGCAAATTTTGCCTTCCTAGAGCTTATCTTGTTAATTATTTTGACAAGTTCACTATGGAGCCGCTACTTCCGCAAAAACGACGCGCTTATAAAATCGATGAATATCTAGCTGCGATCAAAAATGTTCTCAATCAAATTCAACTACTTCTCGATCTTCTTATTTGTAAGGAACCGATTAATCCGTCGATCATCCTTCGACTGATACGTCTCTTAGTCCTTATCGGCTTGAATGAATCCACTTTTGAGCAAGATGTCTTTAAAATTTTCGAGCGTCTGCACAAAAAAAACGAAATCTTTCCCGTGAAAATCAAGAATTACTTAAATGAGAAAAAATTTGTACGCCTCGTTGACGTTCTACATAAAGACCTCATGGAGACGGGATGTGACTCCCTTGTCATAATTCACTACAACAACTTTGGCTCATCAAAATTTTCTAACTTGGAAAAACATGGTATTGTGAAGATTACATATCAATCTATTGAAGAATTCCTTAATGCCCTTCGCCAGATTATGTCATCAGTAGCCAGGAATACGGTCTCGGAAAATCGGCTTTTAAATAATATGGATTGGTCTCGCCAGATTAGAAAATTCTGGAACCTTCAGATCCACGATTCTCCCCGTGACCAAGAAGCAGCAAAAAAAATTCAAACCTGGTTTCGCGAGACTCAAGAGCGACGTAAAAGGACTGTTCACGACCCAACCTTTGAAAAAATTTACAATGAAGTAAGAAATTTCTGCCAGGAATTTGCGCTGAAACGGAAGGGTGAAATAGTGGTACGAAAGTATAATATGCTCTTGAGAGGTTCGACGGTTGACAAAATCGTGGAATTGACCAAATTGCTGAGCAGCATGGATAAAAACAAGAATTATTTGGGAAAATTGAAAAAAAGAGACTATGATCTTGAAATATGTGTTGAGCTAGAGGAAGAATTAACGTTTGTTGATATTCATTTAGTATTTATTTATTTTTTTTTCCTTATCATTCAACTCATTCGAATTTGTGTTTTTAGGTATGTCCAAGAAGAAGTTGAACAGCTACTGGATTCATTATCTATTATAGAAAACATGGAAAAACATGAAGAAGCAGATATTGAATGGTTGGAAAACGAATTACAACAGGCAAAGAGTGTCATCGATAAGGTTTTGGAATGGATAGAGAAATGCGAATCACTAGATTAGTAACGTTTCTATTTATAAGAACGAGCGAGATAGCATTTTTTTTTGTTTTATTAATTGGCCAACTGTGTTTGATTTGGGCAGATATTATGTCGAATTAGACAACTATCAAACACCGAGTAAAGGCCTTTCTTGAGTATTTTTTATAAAATAATTAAATCATTTGATTTGTTGTTAAAGTAATACAATAGATCATTTAGAATTATAAGCGTTCACGATCTTTTTTAAATAGTCATTTAGAGGTTGTTCCTCTTTAAGAGGTTGAAATTGGCATGGAATCAATTATTCAGTTAGAAAACATAAAGTATTTTTATAACATGTAAACGTTTCTAGTTACAAAGCAACATTAACATTAATGAACCATGATTAACGAAATTGATGTCTTACTGATGAATACAATAGCGAACAAAACCGTTTGTTCTTTGTTGCAAAGATATCAACAGCTAAATTAACTTTTTTTCGTTATTAATGGTTTTTAAAAAAATACATCTTATTTCAATTTCTTTTTATAATATTCTATTATTCTTCACTGTAATCTTTGCAAGCACATTTTTTTTTTAACGACGAAAATAAACCTATCTTGTTTGCATCAGTCCGGCCGAAATTAAAAAAAAAATTTTAAATTTGATGAAAAAATTTTGAGCGTTCGATTGGCTAGTTATTGAAACAGATTTTTGTGATAAAACTCTTTTTTATGAAAAGGGAATAATCGAATTGGAAGTCGTTGCTAAGTTTAAGAGGTAAGTAGTCTTACTGAGTTTTTGTCGAGTTGGTGTTGCTCTAGGTGTAAAAATAATCTGGGAATTAAAAGCTCTTCGTGGCCACATTCGCTTTGGACGTTCTTTCTTGTTTCCGATGTCTTCCACACCCCTGGAAGTTCACGACGTATTTTTAAATTCTATTTTTAGTGGTATCTGTAATTGTGATACGGACTAAATCGTTTTCTCGCCCCGTGAATTTTCGGTTTTGCCCATATGTCCGAAACCTTTAATTTGCAAACACTTAGTTGCGAAACTAGTTTCGCCCGAAACATTAATCTGTGACAAAGGACGAAGAATTGAATTAGAAGTTTAGGAAGTTGGTCCGAATTCAGGGTGGGTAGTCACGTAAAGTTAGTTGTCAAGCACATTTATTTTCCCAAGAAAACTGATCAAAACTTTTCTTCGATTAGTTTCTGGGAATATTCCGTTTTGATTTCTAGTTCAAAAGCGGATAATTTTGTTATTAAACTTCATGATAAAGCACAATTATTACAATTAAAGACCGGATTTGTGCATTCTTCGTTATGAGATTCATTTTTTTTTTTCCGTAAATAGGTCAATTCTTGAATTATAATCCATCAACTTCTGATGTAATGGCTTGACTTCAGGCTCAGTGCAGCCTCTTTGATCGAAATTTTTTTTTTTTAGAAGCATCTTCTCACGCCGAAAGGGAAAAAAAAAAATTTAGATTAAAAGGCCCTGAAGGAAAGATGAGATGAAATTACGGAATTCTTTTATGGAAAAAAAAATAAATAATTTTTTTTTAGATAGCTTAGCCATATTTCCATCTTATGATACGGTTGTGCCTGACCTTGAAGAAATTGTTTTGCAGGGAAAGTTCTTGTCTTAGCGAGGTCGACAACTAAAGAGCAATCCGGAACGGTTATGCAGGCTCTAATTTGAACAAGAGGAGTTTTTTTTTTTGGTTTTATATCATGTGAACGAACACTGCCATTAATCCCATACGTGTAATTAAATAAACCGAGCCAAGTAATTTGTGGCGGTAAGAGTGGCAAGCCTCTACAACGTAATCTAAGCCAATTCAAACAAACTGATTTTTTAAAACCCGAATTTAAATTACTGTATAAATCAGGAAATAAAATACATCCTTCTCGTTATTTATGAAGTTTTTTTTTGTATAAATATGAAGGGAATTTAGTTCAAAAATCTAAATTAAAAAAATTTTATTAGAATAAATTATCTTTTTTTTATTTTTTTAAAAAAAAAGGATGAAATTCGCTCCCAAATACAGTATAGCGTTCATACTCGCCACTTTGATATTGTTGTCCGTTGCGCCACGTTTGTCGTTGGCAAGAACTGCTGCAGAATGGAGAACTCGTACCATTTATCAATTATTAACGGATAGATTTGCTCAAACACCAGGTCAAGAAAATCTTCAACTCTGTTCTAATAATGAAAATGAATACGAAGTTAGGCATTATTGTGGCGGAACATTTTTGGGAATTGTGAACAAGCTCGATTACATCAAAGATTTGGTATGTTAACAAAATTATTATTTTTTTTTTTTAAATCCAAATTTTTTGGTTTGTCGTTATAAATCTTAAAAAAAAAATAAAAATTTTTTGCAGGGTTTTGACGCGATTTGGATTAGTCCGGTTGTAAAACAAGTTGAGGGTGAAACGAGATACGGTGTAGGATGGCACGGATGTAAGCTCATTGACTAAACTTTTTTCCAAAGTAAAGAGTAAGCATTGGCTGATGAATTATCTTAAATCTACACCAATAGATTGGGCCCAAGAACTTTATCAAATCAATCCACACTTTGGTACGGCTGATGAACTCAAAAATCTCGTTAAAGCTGCTCACGAGAAAGACATTTGGGTTATGATTGACGTTGTACCGTATGTTTAATTATAACATCTTTTTTTTTTTTTTTTTTCTTTTTTTTTTGATTTTGGCATTAAAATGTATTTTTTTTATAGAAATCACATGGGTCCACAGGATGGAAAAAATCCTAGAACCGAAGAATATGTTAAAATATATAATCCATTTAATAAAATTGAAGATTATCACTTTTATTGTGACATTAATAATCCTGGAGATCAAGGAAATGTTGAATATTGTAGCCTAGGTGGTAATTTGCCATTGCCCGGTATGTTTTTTTTTTATTTAAAAAAAAAAAAAAAAAAAAAAAAATTGCTAAATAAAAAACAATACTTTTCATATTTATTTAATTAGATCTTGACACGGAAAACCCTGTAGTGGTCTCTGAATTAAACAAATGGGTCAAATGGTTGGTCAAAGAATTCGATTTCGATGGTATACGTATCGATACAGCAAAACACATTCGACATAGTTTTTGGGATGGGTTCACTCAAAGTAGTGGAGTATTTTCAATCGGTGAAGTAGCGGATTCTAATCCAGGATTTGTTGGATCTTATCAAGGGCATATGGATAGTACTTTAGGGTATCCCCTATTCCAAAAATTACAACCTTTATATACTAATCCTGGTGCTAATATGTATGAAATGAGAAATGCCATAAATGATAATAGAAGATTCTTTAAAGATACTAGTATACTAGGAAATTTTCTTGATGGTCATGATCAACCGGTAATTTTTTGTTTTGACTTGTAAACTTCTTTAAAAAGTCAATTCCATTCATTCATTCATTCATTTATTTTTTGATTGTTGATTGTAGAGATTTAATCATATAACTCAAGATAAAGTTTTATTTCGTAATGCGTTGACTTTTGTCATGTTAATGGATGGTAAATACTCATTCTTTTTACGTCATCATAGATTAGGAAATTTTACTTAATACAACCTACTTTAATTATTTAGGCATTCCGATAATATATCAAGGATCCGAACATGATTTTATGGGACGTCCAACGGGAAGAGATCCATTTAATCGTGAAGCGCTCTGGCCATCTTCTTATTCACAATCGTCTCCCTCATACAAGTTCATCGCTAATATAAATGCATTCCGTAAAGTATTACCTGGAACATTCTTCTCTTCATTATCTATCGAAGCTTGGATAAATGAACATATTTATGCCTTTTTTAAAGACAAGGCATTAATCATCACCTCTAATTATGGTGGGAATAATCTAAATATAAATTTAATTATACAAGGAAACGGAAGATGGCCTGTTGGTGAGGTTTTAATTAATATTATAAGATGTGAAGAAAAGATTACTATTGATGAATCTCATAATGTCCCGGTTCAAATTGACGGTGAACCAAAAGTACTTTATCCCGAGAAAGATTTAAAAGGTCTTGGCATTTGTGGACTTTAATCTATTTTTTTATTTTTTTTTTAGTATAATATTATACGGTAGATTTATTCACGCTTGTTTATAAATAATTAATAATAATAAAAAAAAAATTATATTTACGGTCACGTGATCAATATTCCAAGTTTTCATTTTTTTAATTAGAATTAGCCAGGATTAAACGAAGCAAAAAATTTTTCGTATCGTATAATATTATTAGTGATTTTTTTATATATTTCATTTTAAACATTTAGAGAATTACACGTAAAAAAAATAATTTCCAAGTATAAATTTACATATTTTTATTGTTAAATTAAAAAGTATAAACAGGAAACAAAACACAACTAAAAGAAAAATATAGTACTTGTTCGCTACTAGATAATAATACTAGTACCCAGGTTGCACGACGAGTACGTCAGTACTATCGCAACCCAAAAAAAATGGAGCTCCTCAGCCGAGAGAGCCTTTGGGTTCTATCTAATGCCTTTATTTATTTATTTATTTTTTTATATACCCCACTTTCATGCCCCAAGTTTTCCTTCTTGGCGGTTTGTACCCAGTTCTGTCCTTCTGAGCGTGAGTACCAGTTATATGTTCTGGAGTTTGGTTACCAGTTTCTTTCTGGTCGAAGTTCTCTGCTGAAAAGAAAAATACATAACCGGAACTACGTATAGAACCAGTAGACCTTTTGCAGCTGTTTTCCAAAGAACTCCTTCGTTTTTTTATAAGTGGGTGAAGAAGGGGACACAAAAACAGATGTGCTTGCGAAAGACTGTGTTCGCGAAAGGGGGAGGAAAAGAAACGAGAACGTTTGTGGGAATTTTTTTTGTTGAACCCAAGTATATTTATACACATAACAAATATACCTGTTGAAAATTACTAAATTTAGCAATAAAATAACGTGACAGATCATTATTTGTTGATCACGTGAAATTTGTTACGCGTTTTGATCAAAAAAATCATTATCTTAATTATTTTAAAAGGTGAACACGAAAATTTGGTAATATGCGAGTATTAAGCAATAAATTGCTTCCATCGTGATTTCGTTCAACGTAAATCAATGAGAAAAAGAATAACTTTATTTATTACATTGCAGAATTTAATATTGACAGTGCATCAAATGTTAAATAAAATATCTTATGATTAAAAATAACTTTATAATACATTTAAAAAAAAAAGAATGTGATTCAAAAGCAATAAATTTTATAACTTATTATTAATATTGAACATAACAAAGTTACCCTTATTCAAATTATCTCATCAAGAAGTTCGATGATCTTTCAGATAACAACGTAAGTTTAGCCTTCGGCTTACGGCAACCTGTGAGAGCTGGAACAGTACTCTGGCCAAAACGGCAGGCTACGGCCGGAATGCGTATTGTGAGAAAATCAGCGATCTGCGCACCGTATTTGATCAATTTTCCATTGATCTTGATATCTCCAACGGTAAATCCTTTTTCGGCAGGAACCTCATATATCGCACGAACGTAGAGTCCATGACTATCACTACCACGGACAAATTTCCAGTATTGATCTGGATTTGAGTTGTCGGGGGTATTGAATGCGGAAGTGTCGAGAACATTTAAATAGATCGCGACGGGGTTACGGATAGTTACATCTGCACCTTGGCGGGCGAACCCGTTTATAGTGGCTCCAATATGTGGATCAGAAAACCTGTCAGGGCTTCCGTAACTGCCACATCTGATGAGTTCTTGCTCCGAAGTCAAGACACGTCCGTTAATGACGCGAATAACGCTGGAACCACCACCGAGTTCGATTTCAGCCCCAAGAGTGTTGTTCCTTTGGATCAAATGAACGATGTTGCCAGTATTAGTATTGTTATTCCATTTGTTTCTTTGGTTATAGTTATTATTGGAATCAAAAAGATCCCCCTTTTTTACATTTGGACCAATGATCGTCTTATACATTTCCACCAATTTGTCAGGATCTTTTTCAGCGATTAAGTTCCAGTATTCGGGTCCTTCGCATGTGAATGTAACTCTGATGATTTTTCCAGTTTTAGGATCTCTCAAGACACTCCATTCACAATATTCATCTTGAACATCACGCGATGAATCAGCAGTTTCCCAGCGTTTCTTATCCGTGACAGAATTCTTTGTAACTTGATTCGGGAATGCAGTCCAAACGATATCTTGTTCTACTGCATCTTCGGATGTGTATGTTGATGTGGAGTCGAAGTATTGTAAGCGTGGACCGTCAAAGATATAGTCGTCTGGATATCCTTTAATGGCGCCTTGAGTCCATTCTTTCACTAGTTTACTCCATTCTTGTAGTAGATCGGGCTTCATATCGTCGAGATACGCGGGTGGATCAAACTTTTCTAGAATGTATGAATTTTTGGATGTGATCGAAAACTTGTCTAAATCTGAGATAGTATGTTTCAGAGAAGGGCGAACCGTTCCTTGGGGAGACATTTCTAACGATAGTGCATCACTGGTGATGTTGCTACATATAGGTAAGGTTAGATCAAATTCGTTCAGAGGCTTGCTACGGAACAGTCGTCTACGAGATTCAGCAAGCCGAATAAGATCATCTACGCCATCTTGTTTTTGCAAATTTATCTGCAAGTTAGCAAAATACTGTTCAATAATCATTTTGCAATTTTTCTTCAAAACTTCATCTGTTAGGTCCCAATAGCCAAGGAAGACAGCTTCAACGGATTCTTTCGGGGAATTGTTAGCACCACTTTTAATATTTTTCACGATATTTTCAACAAGATCATAACTTTTCGTGCTGTTGTCGTAACGTGCAGTATCAGGAATGTATTTCATTAACCGACGTCGACACATTGAGTCTAATGGGTTACAAAAATCGATCATAAACAAACATAGAATAAATTTTGGGCTCAACAATGCGGGCACCTCAACCTTGTTCATTCTTCTGCTATTAAGAAGCGTTGAAAGCAGAGAGGTGTCTTCAAATGCAGGTTCCGGAACGGGGAATGCGAACATGCCATCACCCTGTTCGATGACTTTACCACCAACTTTCAAACAAACCTCATACTTCTTTATGCTTTTCAAATACATATCCGCATTAATTTTGATTGGAGAAAGATCAGGGTCTATATAATCAGAAAGTTGGTTAATCATGTCAATGTTTATGAAAAACGACGCGGGAATTGTCAAATCATCCTGCGACATGATAATGGAATACCCTTTGTCGATTGCGATGATATTGTATGTGGTATTGTCAATAACCTGTCGCATAAACTCTGTGACGTTATTAACATCAAGGGAAGAAGGATCTGTAGCGTTATCTAACCGAACAGTATTCCATTCCGAAACGGCGTCTTTGACGATATGTTCAAGTTCAACTGCATCTAAACGATTTTCGAATATAGGTTCATGCCTAAGTGGAGTTTTAGGATCGAGACAATCAGAAATTGTGAACATTTGAGAATGCCAATGTAACCAAGGCCTGTTAAGTTCTTTCATTACTAAAGCACCATTGACGTGCCCATCAAAGGGTCCCTTGCCGCGAGTCGGATCTTTGAGCGCATGCCAAGAATTTCCAAGCCACCACCATTCATTCTTGTTGTTTCGTTGGTAAAAGTTGAAGGCGCGATGAGTTTTACTCCAAGCTGCCACTTGCAAAAATAATTCATCAGAATCCAGAACCGGTGAAGAAACGATAAAGATTAAGTCGGTTGGTTGCTTTTGATCTTTGTTAGTTTGACAAGTGATTACGAAACGAACTTGTCGATCGATGTCTTTAGTTTCTTCAGACCAGGAGATATGTGCACCATCGGCAACCATAAATGATTTTTGTTTCGTATCAGAGAGAGTACTATTCAGAAGATGTCGTAAGGTAAAGATTTTTTCAATGGGTAAATTGCTATCCCACAATTTGAACAACTTATTGCCAAAATGATCATCAAATATGTCCAAATCATCCTTAGTAACAGGAATTGGCTCTGAGTTCAGGCCAAGAACAAATCGAAAGAACCAATTTCCATCTTTCATATTTTTCGTCATTACGGAAAAGTGATTAACGGGACATCCACTATGTGCAACATTTCTCTTTTCATTGAACGTCGACAAGTGAGTATGAACCAGGATCGGTTTCGCGACAAATCGTCCAATATCTAAGGCATCCAAAATAAACTCTTCACTATTAATTATTATTTTAAGAGAGCTGCCCTCGAAAGGAAGATTAATGGTCTCGTTAAACTTGGCCCTATAGATTTGATACTCCAAGAGACCCGTGAGGTTGTTGTTAAAGGAAGGACGTACACGCGTCTCCAACTCGACAGTGACCTTAATCGCGTTGACGCCGGCAAGACGTTCTCTTGCTATTGTAGGCACTTTGACCGAAAAGGAAGTACTGGTGTCAATTGATGGGAGAACGTCCCAAAAGAAGACTTCGTCGCATGAGAAGTTATCTTTGTCGCTAAAGATTACAAACTTTAGTTTGGCATCAGCGACCCTTGAAAAGTTGTTATCAATATTTATTTGACCTGTAATAACAGACATTATCCGTTTTTACTGTACATTTTAAAAGAAACCGAACCTTTTATAAAGGTTTAATATTCGGATCTGCAAATCCAAATGAATATTTTAATTTTTGTGTATGGAAATGATTATCCATTTTTAATTTTAATTTTTTTTGATTCGCATGCTAGTTTAGCATGAGTATTCGAATGGCTGAATAAATTAAAATGATGAAACCTTAATTCGTTTAAAAGTTACCTTTTTTATCAAATGTTTTTTTAAAGAAATCGTGGGTCGTTCCAATTAAATAATTAATTTAACATCTTTTGGTCTATTTTTAGTTTAGTGTTACATTTAGTATAATGTTACATTTAATGGTTTCACGATGAATAATAAATATGAGAGATTTTTTTTCATTATTTGATCATTATTTGTAGGTGGCTTACTTTAATACTACGAACTAACCCTAATTCCACGCAACTTATCGGAAACGTTGCGCAGCCGTTGGCTGCGTGACCTGCGGCCTGCTTTCCTAACAAACCTTTCCTTCCGAACTTCCTAACCCCAAACTCTAACCCTAACCATAATGCATCATAACTCAAATGTCACCGACCAACATTTTTTGCCTATGCTCCGATTATAATAGTCCGATTACACTAATCACGTGTGTAACATCTATAGTGACCCAACATTTCGACCTTTTGCACAGTCGCTTCGGACAATAAAAGGAATATTTTTATTCTTTTTCGTATTCAACTGTAATTTTTCCTTTTGTTGGCCAATTATGACCTTTTATTTATACACTTCACAAAAAGTATATATTTTATTATATTCCCCATTTACTAATTGTTCGCCCGTGATATTATTTATTACACATCGATATTTTACTTGATTTAGTATCGGGGTTGAAAATATCAATATCTGAGATATATCATTTGAAAATCGTACTGGAAATTTTATATCAATGAATTTATTTAACATTGAAAAAATTAAATTTATTCTATTTAAATAATTGATATTTTAGTATATAATTTACTAATAAATTTTTTAACGAATGTAAAATATTAATTTAAATTTTTTATCATGGTTAATAAAGCTAAAAACTTCTTGAAACAGCATTCACTAAATATTGGTTATCGTTATTATTAGGACGAAAATATGATTGATATTTTGAGGGAATCTTGATTGTAGATAATTTGGTATTTATAATTTTTTTTATAAATTGGTTTATTGTAATTTTTCTTTCTATACATGTAAACAAATTTTATTATCATTATCTAATTGTCATACTAAAATTAATTTTAGAAAATTTCGCTCTTTTGACCTTTTTATGTTGACTTCTATATGTGGCTTCGCCCAAAAGCTTCAAAGCATAGGATCGACTTTATACTATCTTTTTCAATGAAATATATTCAATGTACACTGAGAAGAACAAGTTTTTTCAGAGATATTGTTATTTGCCAGTCAAATTTTTTTTTCTTTCGCCAAACACGTTCATAGTCACCGTCAATTTATCAGCAATCAGAGTATAAGCTGACAATTTTTACGAAGCGACTCTTTTATTTGTGACTTTTCCAACTTTTTACTCTCGACTATTAAACATATACAGAGTATATGCATTCAATTCTAAAAGAAGGTATTGTGCAAATTTTCGGATGTTCGCTCGGTTCGTATGATTCCCTCCACGCGAGCTTTTCAAACTTAAGCCGAAAATCAAATCCATTTGATGTTCACCGGAATTCTTTTTTCCTATGGATACAGTTTCATCAACAGGGAAAAACTTTTTTCCGTTCCTTAAATAGGAAAGAAGTTCCTAAACGAAACTCTAATTTATTATAGCATCATAAGCCACAAAAAGTTTATTTCATTTAAGGAAACTTTGGATTTTCTTCATTTTATTTATTATTCATATGTAGGAAGGGCTCAAATCAAAGTTTTTATCAAAAAAAAAAAAAAAAAAAAAAATTCTTGCACATGTAACAAAATTTATTTAAGTTGACATACCCATTATATAACAAGTGAAAATAATCTTTTATTGATTTCAAAGTCTCGCGGGTTTAAATAAATAAATGATTTCAACACCACGACGAGTAATATCATCTTAGGCGTTAACTTCAAACAATCCAGGATTTAAGGCCCCACCATGATTAGCTCATCCAACATACTCGATGACCCGGGTACCCGCCCCGACCCGAATCTAAAATTATTAATTAATATTGATAACCTGGTAAATAGAAGCAGCTGTTAAATTGATTATCGATTTCGTCAACATTTAATAGCCAAAGCAGAAGAAGAACATCTATGATGAGGGCTTATACATCTAAGACTTGCAGCTGGTATGGAATCATTCAAAAATTGTAGGGTCCAAGGCCCGAATTGTAAAATGGCGTCCGGGGAATCTTTTCCGGGTATTGCTTGATGGAACCTTGATTCTCTCCGGAGATCATGTAGTATTGATGTATTAAAACCCATCCGAGGATTTGAATACATCTTTATGCATGTAGAAGAAATTCCTTTTAAGTTCTGCTACTTGTTTGATAAAAAGAAATTCCCAAGTAAATGAAAAGGAGAAAAAAAAAAAGAACCTTTTACTTTATTGAAATTCTTGCGCTTAATTTAAAAAAGTGAGTTTCAAGTTTTACCCTTAACGTTAAAACGCGAAATGACTTGCAATAATGCACAAAGGTATTATATTCGGGGATGGGATGCGCCGCCGCAGTAAAAGACATTTCGGAATATTGGATATGCACTGCAATGTATTACAAAATAAAGTAAAAGTTCTTTTAATAGAATCAACCCGAATTTTTTTTGTTACTCAAATATGGTTTCATTCGGAATTATATCTATATAAATACTTTACATACATGCTAAAAAAAACTTGTTAATATATAGAAAGCATATAAATTTCGGGTCATGTATTGTTTTTTCCTTCTGTTACACGACACATATTACGGCATTTCGTAACTTAAACAAAATCGCTTACATTAATCATTTGATGGTATGGTATGATAATAATACAACAATGGAAAGTTATTTATTTTTTGATATAAATAATTAATATAAATGGTTAATAAAATGGTCGATAATACTCTCAATATTTTGAATCATTCTTTTTCAATCCAACTTTTTCGAAAAAGAAAAAAAAGAAAAAAATAATAGAAAGAACATAATCGTAAGGAGTTGGAAAAGTTAACCTTTTCTTTTCAATAAAAAAAAAAAAATGACAGTTTTATCATCAAATTTGTATTTTACCTTTCACGCATGGATTTCTTCACATTATACTCTCGACCACCAATCTTTACAAAATTTAATTCATTATTTAACACTCTTGCAAGAGCTTCATCGTAAGAGTTATGAATTCAATAAGGAATTCTATAATTCAATTCAAAAACACATTGATGGAATCATAAAATCCGAAAATGATCAAAGTAATGACGAAATTATTGAATATAAAAATGTTCAATTTAATGAATTATTGAAATTTGTTTTAATTGAAATAAAGGATCAAGCAGAATTTGGAGAGAAGTTGAGCATCGATAAGGAGAGGGAGAAGGATAAGAGAAAGGAGGGAGTTGTCGCGTTGGATGATGTAAAAGCCATTGAATTCGATGAGGATAAAACTTTGAGTTATTATTCTACGTTGAACTCATCGAAAAACCTTCCATTAACCGTAGTGAAACGATTTTATCCAAAAAGGGTTTTTGAATATTTAAATGGTTACGAAGATAATTTGTATAAATTGATCCTTAAAAAACAACTTGAAATTATTTACGAGGTAGGAGATTATTCACAAAATATAGAATCATTAAGGAACTTATTGGCAAAGGATGATCAATTCTCACAAAAAGACGCATCGTTATTCCTGATAATAATTTATTCAACTTATCAACTTTTAGAAAAGTTGGAAAAATTTGGTATCAAAACAAACATAGATTTAATATATAATTTAGGAATTTTCATGAAGAGAATGAAATGTATTACTTTAGATTTGGTTAATCAAGAGGATTTGGTGGATGAAAATTATAAAATTAATTTAATTAAATTTTCATTATCTTCGGTGATTGTCATTTTTTTTCAATTATATTTCTTTAGTTTATTCTTAAATTCTTGCGTGGCATTTTAAAAAGATGAGACATGATTATTTGTACATAAATTAAAAAAGTAAAAGATGTTGTGTAGTGTAATAAAAAATTAAATTAATATTAATAAAAATAATAATAATAATAAAATAAATAAAATCATAGATTTCCTATCCACTTATAAATCCCCTCAATAATATCACGATGCTTGAGCGAGCCTTTATAAATATTAAAATTCATTCCGTTAGATACTGCCCAAATTTCCTTCCAAATAGGATCAAATACTTCATCAAAATCATTTTCCAGAGGAAACCGTTGAACGGTAATCATGATATTCATCGTAAATCCCAAACTTTTAATCACTCTCAAGAGAACATTTTGCAATTCATTAATCCTTGCTTCATTATTCACTTTTTTCACTTTCTTTCTTTCTAAATACTTTAGGGCATCGATTAATTTTAACAAGACGTCAATTTTAAAATAATTGATTTTTATGAATGGATCTTTGAGAACGTCATGGATTGGTAATAAAGGTATTCGGGAGATGATAAAATCCCTTTTAATGTTTCATGTTTAAAAGATATTTTTTGATAAAATTTTATGGCTTTTTTCTGTTGTTTGGTACATTTGTAAGTTATTGATGATGACATTAATTGCTCGTACATTGGATGATAATTTGTTCGTGAAGACATTGGTATTGTACAAGAGTTGTTGAAATAAAGGTATATTTAAGGACTTTGCTCGAATTATTCCCAAGCCTTAAAGAGGTAATTCCGGTTGGTCAGTGACACTGTCGATTTAAGAACTTGGAAAATGTAATGATTAATTTATAAAGAAATTTTTTAAGTTGATTTCTTTTTTCTTTTACGATCAATTTCTAATCTGAGTAAATTGAAATTTTTTTTGAATAATAAATTATTTTTATGATGCGTTACACTTTGAAGGATATAAATGGTTGAAACAAATAATTTTAACTATTAATGCTTAAAGAAAATTAAAGATATCGGAGGTATGTATGGATAGTTTGGCTATTATGATTCCATCAAGATTTGTTTTTCATAATCGATAGATTATCTCTAATTATTGTCTGTAATTATGACAATATTGAGATTCCGATTTCAATGCAAATCTGTTCCAATTAAAGTACCGGCGTTTTGTCAATCGAATAGTCTATGCCAGAAATGGGCATTAATAATAAACGTGTTTCATACACGACAAGCGAAATTCAATAAAAGAATTGATTTTAAGTATAAATTTTCGTTCGCGTTTAAAATTAATAAATAATCAATTGACACTCACTCGTAACATTTAAATGTCTTTTAAAAATGCTTTTCTAAATTAGGTGAGTTCTTGTAAACTTTTTTTTTTTACTCATTAAAATGGATAAAGCTTAAAAATGATATACACCGATTGTGATTTTGATTGTGAGCTATAGAAATATTTTGATGATGATAGCGATAGTCAATCATTATAATAGGGATTAACATAGTACTATAAGTTTTGTCTTTATATGGGAAGATTTCTAGGAAAAATCAGGTTCCTAAGAGCTTAATGCATTTTAATCTAATAACATCAAAAAAATCTCGGAGTCTGATTTTCCTAGCAATCAACCCATAATTTTGTAGTAACGATCAAAAAAAAAAAAGTATAATGTAGGAAGTTGTTTATCACCTAATCGAATAAGATGACTATTTTGAAGTTGTTTTCATTTTCTCAAAAGTTATAATAAGACTGATGAGCTCAAAAAATATATAAAGCGGAGCTAAAGGTTATGGGAAAGAAATACCCAATAAAATCAAATGCTAAAATAGGTAATTTACCATAATAGATGAACACTTAGAGGAGATTAAGTTGAGGATAATTCCTCTGAAGTTGCAAGAAAACCATATTATTGTTACTATTGAACGAGTCAAAAAGTAAATCAAGGTAAGTTCGATTTATACAAGTTAATTTATAAATTCACTCCTAACCTGAAAATTTTTCACCGTATGTATTTCAATTAAAATTCGCATGGGTTCTTAAATGATAAACATCTAAAACCTCTTTACTAAATGATAATTGTCCTGAGAGATGCGAAGGACTATATATTTTCTGTGCATCGAGTAAATTTTGGTCATGTGAGCGTTTGTCCGCCACGTGATTTCCGTCCAATAATTCGCTCAGGACTCACAACGGTCCCCGTTCCTAGTATATATAAGGCACGAAATTCTCGACGTTCTTGTCTATTTCACAAGGTACGACAATGGCCCTAAAAAGTTGGAATTTAAAATTTCAAATGCTGTGTGTTCTTGTCAATTAAAGTCAAAAGCTTGGAATGGTTGGCGATCTCAAGTTCACTCGTGATATTCTAAAAACCGAGGAATTGTTAAAGTATCTCTATACTGATTTTATGTTCCATTAAAAAGCTATTCGTGATGAATTGGAAGTAACCATGAGCAAGTTTGTAGTGTCAAGACTCAGAACATGACGTCCAGGGAAGTATGATCGAGGGCCGCCGAATTTCTGTTATATTTAGGAGGAATAATTGTCTGCGTGGAAATGAAGAGAACTTTGATAAAGTCGTGGAGCGGACCACTATGCAACTTCTTTGTTCAATTGAGGCAAGTACCTTAGCAACTTACGAATTATCATTGATATCATTGAATTGTATTTTATCGAGTGCGAAATCGGCTAAGAAATGTACAATGTGATTGATACAGTCCCCGGCGAAAGTAATGGCGGTGGGAGTGTTACTTGTTATTTTGATTTAAATTAAAATTTAATTTATAATACCAAATGGGCCTTTACTATTTTAAAAATAATAAAAAAATGCTCATTTTACCTTCTAAATTACTAAGTAGTTTTAAATTTATTATAAATCGGAAATTGCTATTAATTTTCTTAAAATGCTCAAAATTCTAATTAATAATTTGTTCCAATTTTTTTTTAGCTAATAGATGATTTATTTACATAATAAAATAATCATACAATTATAAAATAAACTTTGTACTTGATTTTCTCAACAACCTATGATCAGGTTGAAATAAATTTACAATTTTTAAGTTCTTGTGACAATACAATAATGATAATATTGTAAGCTCAATATTTTGTTTTTAAAAATGAGTAACTTTTCATAATTTTTTAACCAATTTTTTATTAAGAGCAAAAAAAAAAAGAAAAAAATTGAATATGTTCGAAATATCTTATATCGTCGCATCCTTCTGGAAATACTCAAAAAAAATCATCGAGAAATACCGCAATTTGCAAATGCGAGGGCGGTCATTCCCATTTTTTTTTTTACTGCGTATTGGAAAACTTGTAATTAAGCTGAACTTCTCATCCATATCCGGATTTAAATTAACTCCAATCAAATCACAATACGCAGTAAATCTTCCTATGTCATAATTGGTTATTTACAAACTTCTTTATACAGCTGCTCCTAAAAGATTGTGACTTTAACTCTCAAGACTTTAAGGTTCATATTGTAATTGCTCTGGAGATTTTCCTTCCATCATAAATTAATAACTCAAAACTTCTTTATTACAGGAGAGCCTCAAAGATTTTGGCATTAAATATCTTGACCCTCAATACTATAATGTTTATTCTGAAATTGGCGCCTGATTTGATTTATTCTCAATTGCTAATATTAAAGCTTTTTTATAAAACCCAAGACCTTAGCATACAGATCTTTCTTGAATCCAATTCTTTAATAGGTCTACTATATACATTTTTTTCACAAATAATATTCATCATTTGAAAGTCTCAATTTGCTACTCTTCATTTTGAATCAAATGAATTAAATTTTTATTTATATTTTTTGTTGATACAAGCCCTTCTTTAGAATACCATTGGGAAGGCACTAGTTTAATATTAAACTGTGCCATTTTTGATTGTAGTATCACAGCAAAAAAATGCTTACAAACAAATCTGGTATAAATCAAATAGAAGTATGTATAGTAATGCATGCTATCATTGAGAATTAAAACAAATTGAGATTGGTTAGTTATACTTTGAAGATGTTTAACTTCCCAGATTTCTTTCATAATATTATCTGAATAATCTTCTAGAGCTATATTAAGTAAAACTTGAGGTTGCTTATAATCATCTTTTATAAACCTTACATTATACTGATTTATACTCTAAATTGTAAAATATTAATTACAATTTTATATTTAACAAATAAAACTATATAAATCCTTACCTATATTACTATATTTCTTATTTTCTTTCTCTATATCCTATACAAAAGACTTTTCACCATTTGTTTTTATTGTAAAGCTAAAAAATTTAGTGTAAGATACTTTTTACAAATTTCATCAATAGATTTGAAAATAGTTTCAGAAACTTAAGGCATTCCTATAGTGAGATTCATATTATGAAATTTTTAAAATCTTGAATACCTAGCCTTATCCTTTAGGCATAATTCAATTTTTAAATGAAGCTAGTATAATGAACTTTCTGAGTTAGCTTCCATTTTTATTATATAATTTATACTTTCTACTCATTAAGTTGAATGTGTATTTGCTAAAAAATTGCGTCTAATAAACCCATATGCCCAACAAGTCTTAGTAAGATATAATACATATTCACAGTAATTTTTAACTTCTGAATAATTTGTTATTAGTTCACCCCAATGATTTTCAAAATTTAAAACAATATGAGAATTTTGTAAGGCATAGAATTTACTAATAAAAGTATCCCATTTGCTATTTAGTTTTTACTTAATCTTTTTAACCAGATTTTGTCAAATATGAAATGCATAATATCTCATAATTGTTTTAGAATATTGATTGTACAATACAACTTGTATTGTAAGATCTGCATCTGTGAAAATTGTTACAGGTTGAAGTTCACCAGTAGCTTACAATGTTTGTTCTAAAATCCATTCATAGATTGATACAGTTTTATCACAAACTATTGCAATTATTACAATTTGACTTCGTTGATTAGAATCTATTATGATAAACACACTTAATAGCATTGAATATTTGTTAGTTTTACAAGTATTATCAATTATAATAACATTATGTTATTGAGTTCACATTCTTCTTTGATCTGATGACATCCAAAAAA